TGAAGGCTCCAAACTTCTCATCTTGAATCACCATATCAGCCCAGGCCAGGCTAGTGAGGATAAGGAAATCATTCCTTCTCTAGGGTTTATCAAGAACATCTTGGCATCAGCATAGCTCTATATTCGGGCTAAACACTGCTTGAAATTCTTGTGAATGCAGATTTTATATAGAGAGATATGGAGAAGCTACATGTGCGAAGAATATAAATCCATAGCACTTTTTTAGTGAGGTAATTCAGTGATTTGCAGTGGGTTGATTTTTATTTTTGGAGCCTGACCTGAACCAAAGCCTATGGAAGTCAGTGGAAAAGCTCCCAAGAGACCTCTGGCTTTAAGTCAAGGAATTAACTTGTATGTCTTAGTGCCGTAGGATATTATTGAACTAAAGAGCTTATTAAGATTAAAAATGGGATTAGGCATTAACATGAAAGCATGCAAAGAGGTTACACGATTGGGATAAAGCTGCAAGGCTTTATTCTGCCTTTCAGGGAAATGGTCCCAGAATGTAACCAAGGAAAAATAATTGCACATCACAGTATTATGCACAATGAGCTGTATCTTATGTCTTCCAAAGTGGAGAAATCTGGCACTAAAGGTAAGATGTGGAAGCAAAATCCCACAGGTTTATTCCAAGTAACAGTTATTGCTGATCAGTGCAATGAAAATGTCTCATGCAACTTGGTGCTGCTTCTTTTGAGCCTTGCATTTTTGCTTTTTATTTTTTTCTGAATGAGCTTTTCTCCCTTAGCCCCTAGGAAATCAGCAGAGGACTCCCAGTACTGTGGGGAAGAACCCTGCAGGACAGGCAGACACTGGAGGAAAGAGGGGCAGAGAGGGAGATGGAGAGGGGGAGCAGTGAGCATAGTGCTGGTGGCTGATGTGTGGGGATGAGACACCACATATCAGCTTGACGGAGGCTTGCTGTGGGCTGCTGCTTACTGCAGGCATGGCTGCAGCATGCTTCCTTCGCTCATGGGGAGGCCGTGGATACTCAGGTGGCTTTCCTTCTCATGCAGCGGTGCCTGGGCAGCAGGCGGTGGCAGCAGCCATTTGGTACCTGCAGAAGGTGATGGACAGGCACAGCTGCCTCTCCCCAAGGGCTTGCTTGTGTGCATCTGAGACAAGGGCTCCTATTTTTCTTTCTTTCCTTTTTTTTTTTTTTTGGTCTTTTTTTTTTTTTTTTTTGCTTATTTTATTTTTATTTTTTTGTTTCCATAGAAATAATGAATCCTGTCAGGTAACAGGGAGCTGTGGTGAAAGCTCATCTCAAACATTTTTCTTACATCATATGAATGTCTTTCATTTCTCTACTGGTCTATTTATGTCTTGTTATCAGAAGCTTACAGATGTCTGCTGAACAGAGCTACCTATATATTTAGCTTTGCTATTGTAATGACAACATAGATTTGGCTGAAGAGTGTGGCTGGAAGAGTGGCTGAAGAGTGGCTGGAAAGCTGTCCTGCCAGGAAAGGACCTGGTGTGCTACACATGAGCCAGCAGTGTGCCCAGGTGGCCAAGACAGCCAATGGCATCCTGGCCTGCATCAGAAATAGTGTGGCCAGCAGGACTAGGGAAGTGGTTGTCTCCTTGTACATGTATATGGCACTGCTGAGACTGCACCTCAAATATTGTGCTCAGTTTTTGGGCCCCTCACTACAAGGAGGATATTGAGCAGCTCAAACCTGTGCAGAGAACAGCCATGAAGCCGGTGAAGGGACTAGAAAACAAGAGTTGTGAGGAGAGACTGAGGGAAGTGGTGGTGTTTATTCTGGAGAAAGGAGGCATGAGGGAACCAAACCTCATCACTGTCTACAACTACCTGAAAGGACAGCGAGGAGGGTGTTGGTCTCTTTTCTCAGGTGGCAAATGATAGGATGCAAGGAAATAGTCTCCAGTTGTGCCATGGGAGGTTTAGGATTGTATATTAGGAATAATTTCTTTACAGAGAGGGTGGTCAGCCACTGGAATGGGGAAGTCCCCATCCTTGGAGGTTTTACAAGATATGTGGACATGGCACTAAGAGGCATGGTGTAGTGATAGGAATCAGTAGGTCAGGCTTATGGTTGGACTTGATCTTGAAAGTCTTTTCCAACCTAGATGATTATGTGATTCTATTTCATCTGAAAAGCAAACTTATACTCTCCATACATAACTATTGTATAGCTTGCAAGAAAGCCATAATGGTGATGGCCAGAGAGATTGCCCTGCCTCCTGCTGGAGTTACAGCTGATCCATAGCAGATGTTCTCTGCAGGGGATTCTTGGATGCTTTTTACAGTCCCATTGCAAATGTCCTGAGTAACAGAGCCCTCCCACTTCCCCTGGGACAAGAGACCAGCTTTCCCAAGGAGGGCATTTTTTAAGACTTCCTGATAACATCTACTTAAAATTTTGCTTATTATGTTCAAATAGGTTTTCCCTCGAGCCATCCTAGGTAACATCAGTTCTCCTTCATTATCTACCTACAGAGGGGAATCACAACTCCACTTGGCTTTTTTTTAGGGGGCTGTGCATGCCGGAGCAAATTCCCTGCTGCCTGTAGAGTCCTTACAACTACATTCCCTCATCTTTCTATCTGTATGTTTCTTTACTCTCCCTCCCCCTTTCACATTAGCTTGAAATGCTTAACAGTTTATCAGCCTCTCTCCTCAAAATGCCTGGGCCTGAATGCAGCTTTCTGCATGAGGATGCAACAGTGTTAAGCTCCTCTCAGGCTTTTCATAACATAGCTCCTTATGGTGCTATTTCTGTATAGACACTCTTAGCCCAGAATTGCTTTGTTTGCTTACTATATTTGATTCCAATTGCTGACTAGTTTTTCCCTCGCTCTTGTTTGGGCCTGGTGCTTACCAGAACTTCTGATCTGTGTTTGTAAGGTCTGTTGCCTGTTGCCTTTGTGTTCCCCATCCTGACTGTTTGTGTGACCTAGCCATATTACTGGCATTTTCAAGACCCTTATCCTGCATCTCCACATCCCCCCCTTGCTACTGAAGTCTGGTATCCAGGGGCTGAAATACCACACTGGCTTGGAGATCAGGCTTCATACTAACTCCTTAGTTCCCAGTGATGCATTTACAAATTGCCTAGCATGAAAAAACCTTGATCCCAGTGTGGGTTTCTTGTAAAACTTCAACTGTTAAAACCAGATTTAACACTCCTTGTTGTTTCACCTGTTGTTGGCCTGAGGCAGTTTTTCTTCCTTTACTCTCAGACCTGCAGCCAGCTCCGCTGGTGCAGACAGATGCAAGCTTGCTCTGCGTGTGCCAGCAGCTGCCTGGATGGTCAGGTGTACAGGATGTCTGCTGACAGGTTCAAGCTGGCTGGTGACAGCTACCTTGTGAGATGAGCAGAAAGTGCCTGCTTTCTCTTTGTGCCTAGAGAAATCAGTATTGGGTTTTGTGGAAGCAACGTGTGTTTGTGCCTGAGGTCGCTTGGGAACCCCTGTGTGACTGAGGAGCTGGCCCTGTCTCCTATCTGCCTATAACCTGCTGTCTCCCTCTTCACCCCCTGGAAGCCTGCATAGGTCACACTTCCAAGAGATATTTGCTAACTGCTTACGTTGGAAAGGGTGTTAATAGTCCAGGGATCTCCATCCTTTGCTTCTTCTAATGTTTCAGTCCTCACCAGAGGTACAAGGAAATAAAACACAGGCTATTGAGATCTTCTTATGTGTCTTCTGCAAGAAATACAAGGCACCCGGCTGTGGTGGGCTGCTGTTGGAGATGGTTTGGACTGTCCCCACCTGGGGAACATCTGCTCATATTCTTGAAGAAATCCTTCCTTCCTGTGCACATTTCTTGTGCTCACTGCTGTCTGAACCAAGCTGTCAGGGTACCAGAAGCCCTTTCTGCTGCCAGTGCACCTCTGGCTAAAGTCACACTCTTAACAGGATAATGAATTTGATCTTTGATTTGATCATTGCCTGAAGGCAATAAGCCTTCATAACGGGAGTATCGGTTTCACCCACCTTGTTGGCAAGGGCCAAAAAATACCCAGCACACAGATTTTTGTGCTAAACTCCAGGAAAGGGAACTACATAAAAAATAGGAGTGCTTTTTAAAGATACGCTAAACATTGCCACTGATTCATTAAAATCCTATGTGTTCCCAGCAAAGTGGCTTTAGCTCTGCCTACTCCACTGCAGGAGGCTGGCAGATGGTATGGAGAAGCCTGGGAGCTCTAAGTGCTCCCTGTCTTGGGCAGGCAGCAGGCAGGCAGGACAACCTCTGGAGGTGCCCAGCATCAGTGCACTAAGTTTTAACAGCTTTAACAGCATTTTATTTTATTTTATTTTATTTTATTTTATTTTATTTTATTTTATTTTATTTTATTTTATTTTATTTTATTTTATTTTATTTTATTTTATTTTATTTTATTTTATTTTATTTTATTTTTTTTTAAAGCCTAGCTTTAGCATCCCTTGTTGTTCCTCAGACTCCGGATTAGACACGCAGCAGTGAGGTGCAAGAAAGCACCTCCAAAGACAGTACAAAAGAAAACACTGAGACCTAGCAACACATTACCAGCAGGCAATTGACCCTGTCTTGAAACTTCTATGAAGGTTTAGAAAGTTCATCATCGACAAGAAGCAAAGGGAGATGAGTGTTTGCAGCTCACAGCAAAAAGAGGGAACTGAGTGGCATTCATGTCTCTAAGTCCTTTATTGCTATGGGGTAGAAGCATGCTGACACTCAGCTGCACTGAGTCCCAAAAGACAAAACTGGCTAAAAGATTTAAGCCCTGAGGAAATTGTGTGCACCACGCCTGGGAGAATACACCAATCATCACCCAGAGAAGAATTACTTCTCAGATGATATCATGGTTAAGACCTTATTGCCTATTGTTTGGAGATAAATAGCTACTTTTCTCTCATGAGGAGTGGTGACTGGCACTCAGAGCTTTCCTAAGGCAAGGATTATAGAATGAAAAGCTGAATCATCTGCCTTTCTCTGGATATGTTTTGTAAGTAAATTAGACTACATTTGTAGGATTTTTAAAACATTTTTGTTTAATTTTTTTATTGCTTTTGACTTGTTTTTATAGTAAAAGAACAAAGAATAACATATTACAATGTATATAGACTGCAGTCCTTCAACAAACTATTTAAATATATTTGCTTTTTGTACCACAGCCATCTCTCACTGCTTGAGAAATTAAAGCTTCAGAGGTTATATCTCTTTAGAAAAAACTTGGACCCTCAGACAAGACAAAACAACTGTGAGGATGTTTAAAGACTTTTCTTCTAAGTCTTGGAACTCCTTACAAGTACAGGAACAAATGTAATCCCTATTACTGCATAGAAATGATTTTTTTTTTTTTTTAAGTTAACTAACACACTGTGGTGACTCAGAACATCTTCTGGCAAAGCTCTTCAGCCAAGCATGAGACGGGTATGTGTGCATTCCTGCTGGAGGCGTGGTTCTCTGGTGGGAGCAGGGATTATGGCAGTCTGATGTAGAACTACATCAGGACCTTCCCATTTGCTGAAATTCTTGTCTCTGGACTAGGGAGAACTTTGTTTTTACACCAGTATTTTGTGACTGATAATCTCACTATTTTTGTACTGCTTTCCCAAGGTCTGGGATGATAACGGAGCAAAAGGACTAATTTAAATGTTCTCCTGTTGGTGTATTCCTGCTTAAAATAAGGAGAAACTCTGTGAAAATAGAGGCAGCCAGCTTGCAGGATCCCAAACTGTATCCATTGTGTCTTTTCCCATATAGAAGAGGATAGACTGAGAAAGTAAAATAAGGATCACATGCTACAAGATGGCGTAACATGAGGGAAATCGCAGGAGCATTGACATAGGAACATTCACATTTAACCACAAAAGGAGAGGGCTAGCACAAGCTTGAAGAAAAATGGAATCAGTCTCCCGCAGTAAAAGCTAAATAAAATGTCATTTACATTCAGAACACTCAGGGAAGGAAGAACAACCTTAAAAGGTTAGAAAGATGTGAGAAATGAGGAGTGAGCGGAAAGGACAGACCGCCTCTGCCCAGGGAAATATTGTGTACAGCAATTAGCGAAATGGTACATGACTCCAGTGCTGTGATTGTGCTGCTGGTCTGAACCCGCGCTGGTTTACTGCTGTTGCTAATGACAGGAGTGCTGAATAATAAAGCTCTACTCTGGACTGCCAGCAAGAATTTCCTTTAGCTTTTAGTGCTGAAGCTATATTTTAAATGAAAACTGCTAGCTTTTATTTCTGGCACGACATTAGCTGATAACTATAGCACAGCCATGGATTTATAGCAATGCTTTATGCGTGGGGATCGATCTTGCAGGCAGGACTTGCTGTCCTCTCCACAGCCATTCCTTGCTCCTGTGAACATGCTCAGCATAGGAAAGATAAACCAGGGGGAGGTAGTTCGTATGCAAGGAGGCTTGTGAAACTGAAGGCAATGATTCAAAATGCCATCTCCCCTTCTGAATATCACATAGCTACAGCAACGCTTACTCCTTGCCTCTGACCAAAATGAACCCCCTTCCCTCCCTAACGCCAGGGTAGCAGGGAGTCTCGGTGCCTTCCCTGAGCACTTAAGTGGTTACAAGTGCCTCCCTGCTTGCCAGTGCTCAGGCTGCCAGAGACCAGGAGACAAAAATCGATGAGGTTAAGTGGATTTGCTCCGTGCTTGCCTGCAAATCCTAGTCTCCCCCTGCCTCCCCACCTGCTCTGCTCTTATCTCTCCTGGGGGAACAACCATTTGCCTGCTTGTCCAGACAGGCTTTGGAGCTTGAAGCTGCCAGAGGGTGAGGGGAAAAGCCTTCCTGCCGATGGGTGGGATGAAGAGAGACTTGTCCATGCTAAATACAGGGAAGAGAGAGCAAGTAATTCAATACCATCTTCTGCTAGATGAGATGGGACTACTGGCACTGTTTGGTGGCAAACTGTTATGTCTTCTGAACCAGCAACATGTCCTGGGGAGCAAACTCCTCATGTAAATATGTACGGCTTTAGGGACAGAATAAATGTCACACAGGAGCCTGCCATCGAAGGAGAGGACACCAAATGCCATTTGGAGGGTTGTTTCTTTGGAATCCCAACCACTCAGGTTCACAAAGGAATGAGAAGGATTAATTAATTCATTTAGTTTTTGATCTCAGACACATGTGTTTTCATTCAGCATTACTAGAACAGCCAGAATTTTCTGGCTCATAAGCTGGTGGGTAGTACAGCAGAGAGAACATTTCTGAGCCCTTTCCCCCTTTCTTGATGAGGTGAACCTCAGCAGCAGATTCCTTACGGTGAACCCTGGGGGAGGCTCTCCTGCTGCTTAAAAACGCCCTAATGGCTCAACTACTTACTCTGATTCTCTTCTCTACAGATACAGTCTCAGCATCTAATTGGTGGTCCAGAAAACCTGGGAATATACCAGTGGAAATACTACATAGAAAACTGTCAGGAATGAAGGAATTAAAAAGAATGGGCTTGATACAATGAGGTCTAGACATACATGCACACCCATGCACACACTATCTCAGCTAACCAGGGAAAAGGTTCAAATAAACCCTCCCATTTTCTGCATACACATGAAGATCTACAACAGTGGGAGAAGAGAGGGTATGGTGCAGGGAGACATTAAGACATTTTCAGTAGTTTCATCACATGGAGCATGTAGTCTGTTCAGGGTCCTGAATAGCTTCTTTGACAAATTAATTTGCAAAGGACTTCCTCATAACTAGCTCTTACAAAATCACCCTGTCCATGAACAGGTGGATGTAAGGGCCAAAAATCAGTGTCAAAGGTGATGAAGACCATGGTGGGTTCTGTGGAGTCACCAGGTGACACCAGTAGAGATGCTGGGGCTTTAGATGATCCCAAACTGGGCCAGCTCGTGCAGTTCCAGATGGCTGAAAGCTTCCCATGGGCAAATCACTGTGATATCTGCAAAACAGAGAGAATCAGAAATGGGTTCTGGTTGTGGCACTTACTGGATGTCTTTTGTATGAATAGAAAGGCTGCTTTAGTGAGGAAACATTCAAATGTGGGAAGAACAAGAAAAATGAGAACCCACTTGAAGATTAAATGAGCTGATGAGCTCTTTACATTTGGTGCTACCTACCAGACTCAACCAGGTCACTGTATTTGCTCCTGTGCCATCTTTCTCTGTGAACAAGACTATGGTCTCTTCAGTATCTAGACTAGTGTGAAAATTCATCCTGGTTGTGGGGTTTCTCCTGTTCTTATAAACTGCCTGTAACCAACCTGTGATACCCTGGAAAACGTGCAATCTTAAATCAGATGCTGAATAATTTCATCTACAATATTCAGGATCTGTAACTCATTGATAGGGGCAGCTGTTATTGCCATCTAAATTTTAACTGGCTACAGGTCATCCAGTGCATGTTTCTCAGTCCCAGATGGGTGCCTAAAATTCTTAAAATTAGGATTTTGGTGATAACATAAACAGTCAACTATTTGAGATTTAGTTCCTGTGATTTTTTGCTATTAATAGCTTAGCATTTGGCATTTCTTTGAGAACCTCATGCTGCTGAAATTCTTAGCCAGAGTATTAGCAGAAAACAAAGACAAACAAGCATTTGTGCAGCCAAGTGAAAGTATTCAAAAATGGAAACATGCCTAAACACACTTTCTACCTTGTGGTGTATGTAAGTACAAACATGACCATGGCAGCTTGTGGAGGGAGTACTAGCCCCCTCCAGTGACCCTGTGATCTATGGAGAAGCCAAGCAGACAGAGGCCACCCCAGACAGTACCCTCCCATGCTGAAGCGTGGTTACACTTGTGTTAAAGAGGGCATGACAATAACATCCCACAGCGCTTACCTGTGCCCAGCCCCTCCATGCCTGGGATGTCATCTCCAAACCTAGGGGAGAGAAGAGCAGGTGAGGGGTGAGTTTGGGCCTGCAGCACCCAGGAAAGGGGAGATGCCCTGCAACCCCCACCAGGGAGGGAGGAGTGTGGGCAGCAGATGATGAGGAACAGCTCAGGGCTGGGGTGGGCCAGCACCATGACAAGAGAGCTGATGGCACCATGGGGCAGGGGGAAACCTCCTGGATCCTTGTGTGGGGGAAGATGGTGCCCCAGGAGCCCAGCTTAGCAGTGGGGAGCAACCCAATTCAAATTGTTTCTGTTCTTTCCAAAATGCCCTTACCCTTTTACTCCTTTTTTAGGAGGCTTGCTCTTGAACTGCCTTGTCTGTCTCTGCTTGAACTTGGGAGGCCCCTTGCGTGGTGTGGTGGGACCAGTCGGAGCATCTCCAGTGTTGAGGTTGGTGGTGGGATTCTCGCTCATTGCTGGGCTGTTTTGTGCAACAGGAGTATGCCTTGCTCAGATCCTTCTGTCTGCAAGATAACAGCAAGGGCTGACGCAACACTCTGCTTATCATTTCTAGGTATCAATAGTCTTGTGACAGAATAATTATGGGAAGTATGATTTTGACAGAATTAAACATAAAGACATTAAACAAAAAGAAAGACCATAATGTACACAAAGTAAGCAGAATGGCACTGATTTTCATCATTGCATGCTAGAACTAAGACACCAAACTATGAACACTCCTGCTAGGGACAAAAAAAAACACTTAATCCCACAGTCCAATGACGTGCAGAGTTATGGAAGGTTACATCTTCTCTTGTCTTCGACATGGCTGCTGCAGCAGCTTGCCCCAGAACCTGCAGAACCATACAGGTCATGCCAGTGTTGTTTGTATTCCAGTTTGCTTTGCAGTGCTGGTGCTTCTACTTACCAGTTGTGGATATGACTACTAGGAGCCACAAAGACACACGTATGGATTTATGGCTTAGAGAAGTGTCCTGTCCTTGGGAAACACAATATATTTCATCTGTTCTTGTACTTGTGCCTAAGTGTTGCCTCTTGCACACGGAGGAAGATGGGGTGCTGACCTAGGTGAGCCCTTAGGTGCAGCTGCAATTAGAGCCTCAAGTTTGTCAGTACCAACCTTATGGGAAATAGTACAGGATCTCCGAAAGATTGTAAAGAAGGCTAGGGCAAAGCATTGGAGACTAGTTTAGATGGAATTTAGTTTCTTAGGATGTAGGAGATCAAAGCCTGTAACTTTCCCCAGGAAGTGTCCATTTTGATGGTTTTAAGCACTATATTACGTAGATTGACCCCCCTCTGTACCACACGGTACATGAACCAAGCTCCACATCACAGGGGCTACCTAAGTGTCAGGTAGCAGTTCTCGTGGGGGGGACACCTCTCCTGCCTGAGGGCAGAGCTGCTGCACTGAGGACCCTTTGGTCCCCCCCAGAGAGGCCAGCAATAACTTCCACCAGTGCCCAAGGGGGAGCTCCCAGCCCTTGATCAAGTTTGATCAAGTTTTGTGCTAATTAGTATGCTAGAGTGGTCTGACCAGATCCATTTATGGACAAAAATAATTGCCAATTTGTTCTCCCCTCCCTGAAGTCACATCCTTCCCCATGGCCATTACATAATTGCTCTCCCCAGGTTTTTGTCCCTGTGCAGCCAGGCTGATGGAATAGCCTATGGAATTACCTTCGGGATTTTAGTACTGAAGGCTAATCCCATTATGTCACCATAGTGCTCCAGCCTGATCCCCAGTATCACCTGCAGTGACACTCCAGACTTTTAATCTCAGAACTATGAATGCCATCAAAGACGTTTTTTTTCTTCTCAATTTGAAGACAGCCCCTGTCTTTGACAGTGCCTGAAATAGCCGGAGTGCTGGAAAGCAAGGCCTGAGAACAAGGCAAAAGAGAATCCAGGCAATCCTCCCGTGTCACTGCCAGATCAGTGCAAGGCAAAGAGATGTGTTTCTGTATCCGTGGTGGTCTGGGAATACTTCACCCCCGACATCTTTCCATCTGTGACGGCGGTAGGATGGATCCTAATGATAGCACCTAGAGGCATGCTAGTTCTCTTGTCACTTGTGGTTGGGCTCCTGTCTCAGCTGTAATATCCTTTGCAAGAGGCTGGACCCGTTCCAGCAGCCCCAAATGGAGCAGCAGATGGTTGTGTCTGCAGCTGAAGTACGCACAGATGCTATACACAACGCTTCCCCAGCACACAGTGTGCCCACAAACACAGGGATCAGCTCAAATCAGTGAAATTACTGATTTGGCTGTCATCTCTGGAGAACCTGAGCAATTGCCCAGTATTTACGGCTTTATCCCCATGGCACAGTGGCTGGACAGGCAAACACTGTCACAAGCACATCTTTTACAGAATGGGACTGGAGGTGCTGTAATCTGTATGACTTGGACTGTGCAGCTGGGAGGTGTGCCAAAATGTTCTGACTCCCAGTTTTTAAGGCCAAACTGAGAGGTGAAGGCAGTTTGGGCTCAAGCCAAAGCAATGTGAGGTCCCACAGCTGTGTGAATCTGCACCAAGGGAGAATCCAGTCCCTCAGTGATGCTCAGGACCAGCAAGGGATTTAAACAGTACTGCCCTACAAGAAAATTCTTTGCATAGGAAAACTGTACCCCATGGCAGGTCTGCTAACACCCCCACATAAAATACTATGCCTCCACCTCAGTAGAAATTCTCATCAGTGGGGCACTTGTCTCAGTGCCAGATTCCTCTCCTGGTCTGCGAGACACAGACCCACTTCTAGGCACCTTCAGTGCATCTGGCATGAGGAGATTTTTGGCACCTCTATCAAGGGCTGCTCCCAAAACTACAACAGAAGAAACAAAATGGCTAACAGGTTTCCAGCCCTTTGTCTGACACACAAGACTTGTAAGAGGCAGATGAGCCCCTGCTCAGTTCCCTCCTCACTTCACCAGCCCCTGCCATCTACCAGCATGGTACCTTAATCACAAGCACGTCATTGAGGGCCAGCTCCTCTTAGTTCTTTGAGTTCCTGCCTTGCCCCAGCCTTCAATCCATAAAGAAATAGCTAATGCGAAGACTCAGCCCTTGGAGTTTACTCAGTCCTTATCTGAAGCGGTTGTATCCACATATCAGCTACTCTACATATGGGATTTGGAAGCTAAAAGGATCTGCCCAAATCACACCCCATCAAATCTATTACGTACATGAATTCAAGCAATGGCATTCAATGCAACTAAAAGAGACCGTTATGTCATATTCCTTACCAACCTCCCTTCACCTGTACTCCCCACGCATCACCAAAAGAAAGGGCAGGGGGTGGGAAGCAACCTTAATGCCTCAGAACAGCTTCCATCTTGCAGCAGGGATCAAGCTGCCCTCCCACTGCTGAGCTGGTGGGACTTGCTTGCCATCACCCGCAGGAAAAGATGCCTCCATTGATGTCAAAGAGGACAGCAGCACGAGGGCTGCCTCACCTTGGGAGCCAGCTGCCCCAGCTCACAGCTAGAAGAAATAGAGGAAACACCACGACATCTTCCTAGGGGAATTTCCCAGCTTTTCACCTCCCCATACCTGGGTGCTTTGGCAATCCTTGGTACCACACCAAGCAGATGGCTTGACAAATGCTTGACACGGTTGGGTCTCCTCTAGCTGCTTTGGCCCTGGGGATGTTCTGGGATGTCAGAGCTCTTCTGCTGCCGCCAGCACTGGGATGCAGCTCCTGGGCGAGAGCTGATGGCTGTGGATGCACAGGCTGCTGGGGAGCAAGATGTTTTTCCCGGCACTTCCTCTGCCCCCTCCTCTGACAAGGCATTACCTAATTGCCCCTGACAGCATTTCTGTTTAGTCCAGGGCTTAATCCTCTGGGTAAGAGCCTTGCTTGCGTCCGAATGCTAATTATACCTAATGCACAGTAATGTGCTTATCTCCGTTGCGTCAGATATCCCACCTCTGGGTTGCTGGCCAGGTTAATCATCCTTCTTTTAGTTTTCTTTGAACCTAAAGAGGCTTGAGCACTACTGACAAGTGCTGACTTTTTAATCTGCCCCCTCCTCTCCTTTAATCTCTGATTTGCTATGGAAAATTTCCCTGACAGATAACACAGATGCCTCACGTGACTTTCTTCAGACAGATCCAGTGTAGGATCTCTTCCTGCTGTCTGGTAACTTCAGGTACAGGCTTCTTCATGCACCCTGTTATCTTCTTGGTGTCACCCAGGGGTGTCAGGAACTGAACCTCCATGAGATGTGTCCCTCCACACAGTGATGCAGTGGGAATAGACAGTTTCCAGGAAGAAATACTCTCTTTTTTGGTAATAATTCTGATGGTAATTTCTTGACCTCGAGAGCCACTGGCATCTTTCTTGCAGCCAGGCTTTCATCAGGAAATATTGTATCCAGTGTGAGATGCCTGCGAGGAGTGAGGAGCCTCAGCTCCAGTCTCAGCTGCTTGATCTGGCTAATCATAGGGGTGGAAGGAGTTCATGCAGTTTCAGCTCTTTCTGATCCCATTTCACACAGGATGTCAGCCCCTCTGTTCTATCAGCGGTTGTAAGACCACAACCAAATGAAAGAGGATGTACTCCAAAAGACAGAAACTCGCTTCAAGTTGAACTGTATTGCCACAACAGCCTCCCAGATGGGGAGCATTGGAAAGACAACCTCAGTTAGGTGCTGACACCAAGGAAGGCATTCAGTGATGCAGGAGATGCAGCACCACTCGCAAAAACTCCCCGCAGAGGAGCCCGGTGTGCACCGCTGGGCACCTGGGCAGCAGACACCAGCCACCTGCCCCCACCACCCCTGGGGCCCCCTGGTGCTGCAGATGTGCAGACTGAGCCAGCCGAGCTTACAAGCCAAGGGGCTGCCAGCAAGCCCTTACCAAGGGCTGCCGGGGTCAGAAACCAAGTGGCCCCATGGATGGCAGAGCCTGCTGCCTGCTGAGACAAACCACGGCTGCTGCATGAACCTTTTTGCCCAGCACTGAGCCCTAATTAAGAAGAAACAGGCATGCCTGAACAGAAGCACAACTTTCTCTCATAGCTACTGGGTGCATTCGAACTTTACAAGCATAAAAATCCAAGCCTTTTTCCCCCATGGGGAGAAGGACTTCTCTCTCCACCAGGTTTTGCAGCCAGCTTCGCTTGCACCCCCCCCCAACTACCCTCATTTGCTTTGAGCTCCCAGCAAATACTTACAGTCCCAAGGGCTCCTCTTGCAAATCATTCAACTTCTGTCCTGCAGTCTGGGTAGAAAAAGTCTCGAGGTGTCCTTCCTCCTCCAGATATACCCTGCCAGCAGGTGACATCAGGACACAGGGCGCCAATCATGGCCAGAGCCCCCACAGGGGGGGGAGGTTGCGTGGCCCCGGTGCTCTGCAGGCACAGCTCCAGCGAGGCCTGGGGGAATAGTGGATGTGCTTCTTTCTGCAGCATCACCCTAGAAGAGGTTGTGATTTCTCCAGAGCTCCGGTTGAGAAATTGCTAGAGAAGCAAGGAAATCATCAGCCCTCTGTGCTGTGCCACTGCTTGTGAGCACACACACACACACACAGAGACATGTGCAGAGAAGGGAAGGGAAGGACTGGTCATAACCACCCCACATCCCTCCCCTGGGCTGCAGAAGGACTGGAGAGGCTTCGAGCAGACTGCTCGGTTGTGCCGCAGGGGCTGGGACCCACCTGACTGGGGGTAGCAGCTAGGTCATGTGTGAGTACTGTGGATGCTATCTGAGAGAGGGAAGAGCTGGTGCCTCAGTCCAAATTCCAGCCCAATGAAACCACACTTAATTTTATCATGTACTTCATTTCTCTGGTGCATTTTAATAGCCCATTGTGACTGCCTGGGAGACTGGTGTCAGAGATTTGGACAAAGTGCAAGGAGTCCATAGACAAAAAGACAAGGACAAGGGTCCTGCTAGAAGATGCTAGATCATCTTCATCTTTAGCTGCAGCAGCACAGCACATCGGTCATGGGCTTGAGTCTAACCACAGGGCGAAACAACTGTCCTCTGGATCTGCTGGCTCTGGTGAAGTTCTGCTCACTTACCTTCACTGAGCAACCAGCCCATGATGTGGGATCGAGGACAAAATATTCCTGGAGGAAGTAGGTGCACAAGGAGCATCAGAGTAGTGCAGGGGCAGAAGGAGCTGAGGAAAGGCCAGGGAGAGGCTGCTTGTGAAGTGATGGGTGGGTTTTGCCTCAGGTTAGGCTAGAGGAAGGATTTGGAGCATCCGTGCTGGCCAGGGGTGACCACATGTGGCTGAGAAAGGACAGGATCTGTCTGACGCAACAGACCGTGGAGGAGGGGACCCGTGGAGCAATGCTCTGCTGCTGAGCCATAGCCAGCAGCCAAGGCCTCTGGCCTTTCAGATGGCTGAAGTTAGCCGAGATAAATCCCTCAGTGAGACTCTCAGGTTACATTTAAAACAATCGATCAGGTCCTACCCTTTGAGTAGGCACAGAGAAGCTGGGAAGTAAATCCTGAATGCAGCTGAGGGGCTGCCAACTGAGCAGAGAAGCAGAGGCAGCAGAGAAGCAGTGTTCCCACGTGTTTGAGGATGATCACACAGCTTTCAGAGGCTTGTGTGATAATTTCTGGGCATGGGAAGAGGACGGGGGCAGCATCGTGTTGGCATCGTCTCTACTTGCAGTGACTTGAGCTTGCACACAAATGCACCGAGATGGATTGCGCTCAGCAGCTCCTGACAGCAGAAGTGATTTCTGTGGGCAGGAACCTGTTTGTGTGGATATAAACAGGTGCAGCCTGCTGGCAGCAGGCTCTGTCCCATCCCTGCTGCTCATTCCCATGCCTCCATCTGCTTCAGGCAGGTTTCCGGGGGCTCCCCCTCCCTTTCTGCCTGTGTGGGTAGAGTTGATGGGAAAATCGTCTTTACAGCCCCCCAGTCCTCAGGGGAAGTGTGCTTGCTTTCTTCTTGTCACCCCTCCCTGCTCCTTTGAAACCTTACAGGCTTCCTTTTTCTTAATCTTAAAAATTTACGTTTTCAGGGCGTTTGTTTTTGAAACATCCCTTTTGTTTTCCTTTTTTTTTTTTTTTTTTTTTTTTTTTTTCCCAGTGAAAGCAGGCTCATTTCTCTATATAAAAGTGGACACATGGGAAAAAAATTCCAGTGTGTCACACAAAGCTATTTTTTGCTCACTGAGAAAGTGTGGCAGGAACTCCCGGAGCAGCTCCACTCATTGTGTTTTTTCTTATCCCCCACTATGACCAGGACATTTCCCCTCTTCTCTCCTTCTCTCCCTCCTTCAGTCTCCTTTCTCTGCTTTGTTGGGACCCCATCCAGCCATATTGCCCCATCCAGCCGTGTTGCTCCAGCTCTGTGCCACATGGCTGGATGGGGAGTTTTGTCCAGGAATGGGGTACTTGATGATCCCTTCCTAGCCTGCAGCCCCTGTCTCCCTGCCCAGGCTTGGCCTCATCTGGCCCCAGAGAAGCCAGTGCTGGCCTCTCAGGCCACTGCATCCAGATCCAGCTGCTTCAGGAGCTGCAGGGGCCGTGTGGTGGCAGGGGTGTTGTCCCAAAGGAAAAACCGAGACCTTCATTACCTCTGGCCAGATAAGTCCCTATTCCAAGGAACTGTTTAAAGATATCTCCGAGGTTTCTGACCCTATTTGTGAGCTGGTGTCACCATGGCAACAGTAGTTATACCAAAAATAGCAGCTCGCTTGAATGACAAAGACAACACTGGTTTACAAGATAGTGACTTTTCCAGGGCTTGCTGAGCTCATGGGACTGTGGGAGCAAATCCAAAGGCAGGGCTCAGGCTGGGGATGCAGTGGATGAGGGCGGTGTCTGGCACGGGCTACAACAACCCTTTTGAAACAAACCTCTACCAGCTTATGCCAGGTGCTTGTGAGACTTTGCTCTGTGTTGATAGAGCTTTATGGCTTGTCAGACAGACATAGCTACCTGGGAATGAACAGGGAATCTCCGAGGCATCTGCAGGTAAACATAGGTTTCCCACATAGAGATAGGCAGCCTAGCAAATGCTTTTGCACTCCTGGCAGGAGGAAGACAGTGGTAGGACCTTGATTTGGAAGGAAATCATCTGTTTGTTTTGTAGGTCAGCGAAGTTGTCATGCCAACAGTATCTTGGTGAGAAGCCTGGTGTACTAAGGTGTCTGCAGAAGAAGACTCACTTGCTGCAACCCTCCTTCCGCAACGCCCGCCATGTTGCTGAACGGTCTGTCAGCTGTGCTAGTGAAAAAAGGGAACCAGCTACAGAGGGCTGAGACAGTATTTAGCTGCTCGAGTACGTGCAAACCAGTCTGTCAGAACTGCAGAGAAGAAGGCATCCTCATGGAGAGTCTTCCTGTCCTTCCTCCAGGAAATCAGGGGCCACTGCTCTGGTTTTGGGATGAAGTACCTGTAACGGCCTGCCATAAACACGGGGCTTTGCTGATTTCGGGGGTCTGTGCCTGCTGTTACGCTGGGTGCCTCTGTGCTCAGCTTGCAGAAGAGCCTGGTTTCCTGAGTTTCATTTCCAGTCATGCCCTGGAGACTGCTCTGGCAATGAGGTGGAGGTGAAAGAGGCTAAGGCCTGCTTTTCCACTGCCAGGGCTCCAGAGAGAGATTTCCAGGGTCAGTCCGGAGAAAAAGGCCTTTTGAGGAAAAACAAATCAAACACTAAGGCTTAATTAAACTACCAGCAATGTCCCTGCCTGTGTTAAAAACTAGGTGACACCAGGGACTTCACACCGGTGGCTAAGTCCCTGATGTTTCCTACCAGGGGGGCTTGGTGGCACCAGGCTGCTCAAGCAGCCCCACGTTACACATCCGAGCAGTCCATTTGTGCTGCTGTCCCCAGGCTTCCTCGGGGAAGGCGAGGATCCTGCTTTTCCCCTTCAGTCAAGGTGCTTAATGTGCATGCCAGCACATCCTTGCAGGCCCCAGGCTCTCAGGCACCAACACTTTAGGACTTGCCAGGGCTTTTTATAGCAGACAATATAAAACCCGTGTAGCCTGTCATACACTTCATTAGCTACCAGAGAGTTACATTTTCTTGCTCTGAGCAGTGAGCCTGGCCTTTCTTCAAACAGATAACAAAGTCTTGCCACCTAATGCTCTCAAGAAGTGCACTGGTAGGATTTTAATAATTTACACAAACATTTTCCTGATTGGTATTAACAAAAAGAAAAGCAGAATGATTCTTCTCATTTTTAGATAGCACTTTTTACACCCAGATCTCAAAGTACAGGGCAAATTTTCATCACCCCTATTTGTAAATATGGAAACTGATGTACAGAAATCTCAGAGACCTGCAGAGACCCATCCACCCAGACAGCTACTGTGGGGAGCAATGAGCTCGGCCATGTAGCACAAAGAGCTCTGTAGTTTGTAACTGCTTTGTGATTCATCATTTAGGAGCATCCCCCTGCTCCGAGCTGAGTTGTCCCAGGAGAAAGCAGTAATGTGAGTAAGCGTCCTCTCTGTGCTTAGTGTCTGTAATACTTTGCTTAATATCTGCAATACTTTGCTTAATGTCTGTATCCAGGCTGTTGGTAGTGCTGCAGTGGGACTGAACTTGTTAGATCATTTTAAAAAACTTCCTTTTTTTCCTGTTGTTGTTCTGCCAACAATTAAAATATCTGCTTTTCTTTTATAAAATTATTTTCCTCCTGAATGCCCTTTACCAAACAAGCTTAACATTAAAGTCCTGAACTAGGACATTTTTTCACTTTTTTGATCAAACACAAGAAGTTAATCTTGTTGTCTGTCTGGCTGCCAGAAGCCAGAGCATGTTGTTGCTATTAAAAATGTACCTGAATAGCACATTTTTTACAGTATTGTCTCAAGAATCTTCCTTAGATTTTTTTTTTTTTTTTAAATTTTGTTATTGATTCCTTCTGTATGAATTACATGCCATGTACCTGCAAGCGGTGATTTAATGACCCACTAGCACTGACTAAAAGTGATCACACATTGAACCAAGCATGGAAGTAATATTGTCTTGTTTAGCTTCATTGCTAAGAAGAAAAAAAAGAAGAGGCTACATTTTTTTTTTTTAATTTAAATGGAAATCAGATATTTTCAGAAGTTTATTCTGTTTAAAACAGTGAAGCAAATGATTCAGTGTCACTGGGCTAAGAAGACAAAACCATGCACTAGTCAGCTCCAGATGTCTTCTTTCCTGACAGCTCCTCTTCTCATCTTGCTCTGAATGATCAATTCTTTCTCCTTGGCAACCAGCAGCCCAATCAAGAGAGGCTCTTCTAACACATTTTGGTAAAACGTTTCTTTCTTCTTCTTAAGGAGACACATCCACTCCTATGGTTTTCACACCATGCTACAGACTCTTTCCTCCTGATACTAGATAAAAGCGCTGCTGTGCAATCCCATTCAGTTCAACTCTTTGCCACCACCACCATTATTAGATTTTTTTTTTTTTTTTGAAGTAACAGATGAGGCTTTCAAATAGAAATTATTGCTTTTGGGGAGCATCTTGCATTCTCCTTGGGAACATTCAGCTAATGGGCAGAGGAGGCTGCTCTTCCTGCTCCATTATCTTGTCTCTTGGGTGGCTGCTCATCTCCCAGACACATGGATGCTAAATGCTCTAGATGCCATGCTATAGCAGATCCCTGATGAAAATAACCACAGAAGGGGGAAAAAACAGGGGATGGAAATGTAAATCATATTTAAAAAAAATAAAAACCTTCTTTTATTGATCAGGTGTATTACCATGGACTAGGCCTTATGTTCTTCCCTCAGGGTTTCACAAATCCTTAGGTTTTAATGTTTCTTTGTTTGTTTTGTTTGATGTTATGGTTTTTCACTGGCAGATTTCAACCCTTCCTTTAATTTAGACCCAGTACATGCTTGCTTTCAAGTGGAGGTACACCCCTCACAAAGTGAGTTAGATCCTCTTACTGGGAGGCCCCTGAGGCCATTTCTGTGCCAAGGACCTGAAGCTGCAGCCCACTTCTGGGGTCCAGTCAAGTACGATAAGCACATGATGGATGAAGTGAGCTGGTTAGGAGAACTGTTAGGTTGCACAACTCACATGTTCACATACACAAAGATCAATTTTCAGGGTACATAGTTGAAGGCATACAGTAACCATAAAGGTTAAAGGTAGCTGTACAGCAAAATGCAAATAAATGAAGGGGGAGAGGGGGAAAGGGGAAGACTTTCCCTGGTGACCAGCTGGGAATGGCAACAATGGGGTTCCATA